AGAGGTCACTAGGATTGAGCAGGAGGAGCTCAGAGTGAGGTTTGTGGCACAGGGGCAGCAGGGGCGGTGGACAACTTGGAAGGGTGTCGCAAGCCGAGCACTCAGCTGGGCAGAGTTCTGGAAACTGCCACAGGCTCGGCTCAGTTTCCTCATTAGGGCAACATATGACACACTCCCGAGCCCTAAAAACCTCCACCAATGGCTTGGAATAGAGCAATCTTGTGACCTCTGCGGGACCATCAATGCTTCACTCCAGCATGTTCTGTCGGGCTGCAAAACTGCACTGACACAGGGTCGATTTAGATGCCAGCATGACCAAGTGCTCAGGAAGCTGGCCGAAGTGCTGGAGAAAAGTCGGCAGGAGGCAAACAACAAGAGTCCATCAGAGAGTCGATGCAGGATCCGCTTCCTCAGGAAGGGGGAACCCGCAATGCATACCAGCAAGAGACCACCTTCCAGGCTGTTAACACCAGGGGCAGAGTGGAAGATGGAAGTAGACCTGGAAAGGCAGCTCCAGTTCCCACAGGAGATATGCAGCACCACCTTAAGACCAGATGTGGTGCTGTGGGCTGCAGCTGTGAAGTCTGTGATACTGATCGAGCTGACAGTGCCATGGGAGGAGGGACTGGAAGCTGCCTACGAGAGAAAGAAGGCGAAGTACGCAGATCTGGTCGCGGAGTGCAGAGAAAGTGGATTAAATATATTGGCTATTAATTCTGATTGCTTACAATTAAGTCAAGTCAAGTCACATTTATTTATATAGCGCTTTTCACAATACAGATTGTATCAAAGCAGCTTCACAGTGATAACATGAAAGTAGTACAACACAGATCAATAATATTATTAAATATTAAATATCCCCGACTAAGCAAGCCAAAGCAGGTAACAGTGGCAAGGAACCAAAACTCTATCAGATTGGATGGAGAAAAAAACCTTGGGAGAACCCAGGCTCAGTCGGGGGCCAGTTCTCCTCTGGCTTACATTCATATTGTTTATATATAAAATGGAACCATAACATATCGCCGGCGTTGAGTCGTCTCTTCACAGGCGTTGGTCTTCTCATCACAGGCATTGGGGCATCCGAAATCCCCGTGAGAGGCTGGATACAAAACTGGACCTGACGAACGCCATTTTTCTCGGGACAAGCGCCCCAAGATAACAGCAGAAAGGCAGATGGGAAATAATTAGCATAGCTGATGTTCATAATGATTTCCAAATACATTGGAGTAGATATTAAAAACCACAATTTCACAATCTCTCCACAACCCAACCATATGCACCGACCCGTTTGACTAAGGCTGTTGAGCCCCACTGTTGCGGTAATGCGTTTCAGTGGCAAACGGTTCCGTATGGCATAACAGAGGACTAAAAGGTAAGCATTATGTGAATGCTTGACTAAAGAGATGCGTCTTTAGTCTTGTTTTAAACTGTGTCAGTGAGTCAGCGCCTCAGACCGTATCGGGAAGGCTATTCCAGAGTTTTGGAGCTAAATGCGAGAACGCCCTCCCTCCTTTAGTGGACTTAGATATCCTAGGAATGACCAGAAGCCTTGAATTTAGTGATCTTAAGGAACCTGGTGGGTTGTAGGGCGAGAGAAGGTCCTTTAAGTACATAGGAGCTAAACCATTTAGGGCTTTATAGGTCAGTAGTAGTATTTTGTAGTTGATACGGAACTTAATAGGTAACCAGTGTAGAAATGATAAAATCGGTGTTATATGATCAAATTTTCTTGACCTAGTAAGAACTCTAGCAGCTGCATTTTGTACTAACTGTAGCTTGTTTATTGAGGATGCAGGAAAACCAGCTAATAAAGCATTACAGTAATCTAGTCTCGAGGTCATGAATGCATGAACTAACTTTTCTGCATCAGAAACAGATAGCATGTTGTGTAGCTTGGCAATGTTTCTAAGGTGGAAAAAGGCTGTTCTTGTAACATATGAAATATGATTTTCGAACGACAAGTTGCGGTCTAGTATAACACCCAGGTCTTTTACTGTAGTGGATAAAGTAACAGGACATCCGTCTATATTAAAGTTGTATTGTGAGAGGTTTTGTGAGTGGTTTTTTTGACCAATAAGTAATACCTCCGTTTTATCTGAATTTAATAGCAGGAAATTACGCGTCATCCAGCATTTTATACCTTTGAGACACTCTGTCAATTTAGATGAGTTAGTGTTTTCATCTGGTTGCGATGAAATATATAATTGAGTGTCGTCAGCGTAACAGTGGAAGTTAATTCCATGTTTTCTTATAATATTACCAAGTGGCAGCATATATATTGAGAATAGCAGAGGGCCTAAAACCGATCCTTGCGGTACTCCATAGTCTACTGACGTTATCTTTGATTTTTTCCCATTTAAACAGACAAAATGAGAACGGTCCGATAAGTACGATCTAAACCAGCTTAATGCCTGTCCCTGGACACCAGTGAAGTTTTGTAGTCGATCCAAGAGTATTTTATGATCTATAGTGTCGAACGCAGCGCTAAGATCAAGTAGGACTAGTATTGAGATACAGCCTTGGTCAGAAGCTAAAAGTAAATCATTTGTAATTTTATCTAGCGCAGTTTCTGTACTATGATGTGGTCTGAATCCTGACTGGAATTTTTCATATATATCATTTTCTCGCAAAAAAGAGCACAATTGAGCGGACACTACTTTTTCAAGTATTTTGGACATAAATGGAAGATTTGAAATGGGTCTGTAATTTGCCAAGTTATTTGGATCTAATTGCGGTTTCTTAATGAGAGGTTTTATTACTGCCAGCTTGAATATTTTTGGGACATGACCTAAAGATAAAGACGAGTTAATAATATTGAGGAGAGGCTCTTCCACTGCAGGTAATAGTTCTTTCAGTAGTTTAGTGGGTATTGGATCTAATAAACATGTTGTTGGTTTAGATGCAATGATAAGTTTATTTAGCTCCTCCTGTCCTATCGTTGTAAAGCGGTTTAGTTGTTCTAGAGGGGCCATAATTGAAGCTGAATCATAAGACACCATGGAGGATTGTACATTTATAATTGTGTTTCGGATGCTTTCTATTTTCGCATTGAAATAATTCATAAAATCATTACTACTAAACTGTAACGGTATATTCTGCTCTGGTGATGTCTGTTTATTTGTTAGTCTAGCCACGGTGTTAAATAAAAACCTTGGATTATTTTGGTTATTTTCGATTAGTTTGTGGAGATGCTCAGCCCTGGCTGTTTTTAGGGCCTTTTTATAACGTGACATACTGTCTTTCCACGCTTTCTAAAGACCTCTAAATTAGTTTGTTTCCATTTACGCTCTAAGTTGCGAGTTTCTCTCTTGATAGCATGTGTAGCACTGTTGTACCATGGTGCTTTAGTTTTCTCTCGAACCTTTTTTAATCTAATTGGCGCAACAATATCTAATGTACTAGTAAGAATGGTGCTTAAACTGCTAGTCATTTCCTCTAATTCATCTGTTTGTTTGGGTTCACTTAGCAGCTTAGATAGATCAGGTAAGCTATTTGAGAATACATCTATAGTGGTTGGAAGGATTGTTCTGCCTGGTCTATAAGGTGGTGCAACATGACATATTTCATCAGTACGTATTATGCAAGTCACCATGTAATGATCAGTGATGTCATCGCTTTCCGGTATAATATCTATATCAGTTGGATCGCTTCCATATGATATAATTAAATCTAGTGTATGATTTAGACGATTAGTGGGACCACTGACGTTTTGTTTGACCCCAAAGGAGTTTAATAAGTCTGTAAACGCAGCCCCTAAAGCATCATTTGTATTATCTACGTGTATGTTAAAATCTCCAGCAATTATTGCTTTATCGACATTTACCAATAGATCCGAGAGAAAGTCTGCAAACTCTTTTAGGAATTCAGCATAAGGCCCTGGAGGTCTATATACAGTAGCCAGGGCTAGAGATAATATGGATTTCCTTCTTACATCTAAGAGCGTAACATTTAGCACAAGTACTTCAAATGAATTAAACCTGTGACCTGTTTTCTGAGTAATATTAAAAATATCTTTATAGATTGTTGCAACACCGCCGCCACGACCGATCAGACGAGGCTCATGTTTATAACAGTATCCTGGCGGAGTAGATTCGTTTAGACCGAAATACTCATTTGGTTTAAGCCAGGTTTCAGTAAGGCACAGAACATCGAAGTTATTATCTGTGACCATTTCATTTACAATAACCGCCTTAGGTGTGAGCGATCTAATGTTTAGGAGACCTAGCTTTAGAAATTGTTTTTGTTCACTGATATTTCGATTTTCTGGTTTAATTACAATAAGATTTTTGCTAGATCCTACACTAGATTTATTGTTTGGCTTCACTAAACGAGAAATAGACACAGTTTCTATATAATGTTCCACACTATGCTTATTAGTTAAGTTTGGACCGCAAAGGCTGTAATTTGGACTTTGAATCATTAGTCATCTGGTGCGTAATGACTAATGATTCAAAGTCCAAATTACAGCCTTTGCGGTCCAAACTTGGCCCCCGAACTCCCCTAGAGGGACAGAGGTGCAGTGACCAATACTATATAAACATCTTGTGAGAAAGACTGGTATTGCCAATGCAATTGGAGAATTGTATTTTAAACTGCTTATTTCATCTAACTCATTAGATGGTTTTGGTGGGTTTAATAGGAGTTGTTGGTATACATATTCAAGGGCGTACACAGTTCAGTTGTGTTTATGTTCATATCAGTCTGGGCCAAAATGCCCGGGCCGATTTTTCGTCCCAGTCCAGCCCTGGATGTAAGTTTCGGTTGTCCCCAGAATGTGTACGTGAAGATTCAGCTCAAAATACGCCATAGATCACTTATTATACAATGTTCTAAATTAATTTTTTATGCATGAGTGTTTCACCTGCTGCTTCCCATCCCCCTTTCCAGAAAAGGAAAATATATATATATCTTCTTTTTGATTGTGAGAAATTTGGCATTAAAGCATTGTTAGAATGGTTTATTATTTTCCGCTTATTTTTAATTAATGTTGTCAGTGGTTCTAAAAGGCTTAAAATCATGATTAAATTGTAGGAGAACATCGAGTCTCTATGAGGAGAGAGAGGAGGGAGATGTTACTCAAAACCAGAGAGCAAGATCTCCAGAGCCCAGCTGTGTGTCTATGAGGAGTAATGAATCCATGAGACTCCCTGTCACCTTCAGTGATGGAAAAGAGATCTTCAACCCCAGGTGAGACAATAACAAGTACTGGAGACATGAGACAGATTTATTGATTAAACAGTAGCACTTTAGAATACTCTATCTTACTTACTGTGTAACTAATAAGGAATTATTGAAGAACTAGTAAGTAATCAATACAGATTTATTACACTACAGATTTATTAATTCTTCACTGCTGTTAAATACCAAGGGAGATGTGTTAAAGGGATATTCCACTTTTTTGGAAATAGGCTCATTTTACAACTCCCCCAGAGTTAAACAATTTGGTTTTACCGTTTCAGTGCATGTGTTTTATAATATATGGCTATAACTGTCATGTGATTAATATTATAACTATGATTAAGTATGTAGACAGACACTATATCCCAACTAAAAGAGCTTTGAGTTTTTCTTTGTTCAATTTGCACACTGAATATGGGTTGGAGCTCTTCATTTTTAACTCTCAAAGTGCACCAGATTGATGAATTTAACATTAAAAAGCACAACATTTTCTTATGGGGGGAGCATGCCCCCGAACTCCCCTAGAGGGACAGAGGTGCAGTGACCAATACTATATAAACATCTTGTGAGAAAGACTGGTATTGCCAATGCAATTGGAGAATTGTATTTTAAACTGCTTATTTCATCTCACTCATTAGATGGTGTTGGTGGGTTTAATAGGAGTTGTTGGTATACATATTCAAGGGCGTACACCGTTCAGTTGTGTTTATGTTCATATGAAGTGGGCCAGTCTGGGCCAAAATGCCCGGGCCGATTTTTCGTCCCAGTCCAGCCCTGGATGTAAGTTTCGGTTGTCCCCAGAATGTGTATGTGAAGATTCAGCTCAAAATACGCCATAGATCACTTATTATACAATGTTCTAAATTAACTTTTTATGCATGAGTGTTTCACCTGCTGCTTCCCATCCCCCTTTCCAGAAAAGGAAAATATATATATATCTTCTTTTTGATTGTGAGAAATTTGGCATTAAAGCATTGTTAGAATGGTTTATTATTTTCCGCTTATCTTTAATTAATGTTGTCAGTGGTTCTAAAAGGCTTAAAATCATGATTAAATTGTAGGAGAACATCGAGTCTCTATGAGGAGAGAGAGGAGGGAGATGTTACTCAAAACCAGAGAGCAAGATCTCCAGAGCCCAGCTGTGTGTCTATGAGGAGTAATGAATCCATGAGACTCCCTGTCACCTTCAGTGATGGAAAAGAGATCTTCAACCCCAGGTGAGACAATAACAAGTACTGGAGACATGAGACAGAATTATTGATTAAACAGTAGCACTTTAGAATACTCTATCTTACTTACTGTGTAACTAATAAGGAATTATTGAAGAACTAGTAAGTAATCAATACAGATTTATTACACTACAGATTTATTAATTCTTCACTGCTGTTAAATACCAAGGGAGATGTGTTAGAGGGATATTCCACTTTTTTGGAAATAGACTTTTTACCACTCCCCCAGAGTTAAACAATTTGGTTTTACCGTTTTCAAATCCATTCAGCCGATTTTCTGATATTTAGAAGAATATCAGTAACCAGTTTCTGGTCCCATGGACTTCTATAGTTATACATATTTCTTACTATGGAAGTCAATGGGACCAGAAACTGGTTACTGATATTCCTCTAAATTTCAGAAAATCGGCTGAATGCATTGGAAAATGGTAAAACCCAACTGTTTAACTCTGGGGGAGTGGTAAAATCCCAGCAAACACAGAATGTTCCCCTAACGTTCCCCTAACGTTCCCGTATGGTTCCTATGTGGTTCTTTTTTTTGGGAACGTTCCCTGTAGGTTATTTTTAGGTTTAATTGTATAACCTAAGGAGAATGTTCTGGCAACGTTCCCTGTAGGTTATTTTTAGGTTTGATTATATAACCTGGCGAATGTGCTGGGAACGTTCCCTGTTGGTTATTTTGGTAACGCTTCCTTTTACAGTCCAGTTACCCATGTAAATACTATGTACTTATTTTATTAACTACAATTACTGGGTACTAACTAGTACTAACCCTGAACCTACCCCTAAACCTACCCCTGTTCCATGTACTACCTTATATTAGCAGTACGCTGTAAGTACTGTACTGTAAAAGGAAGCGTTACCATTATTTTTTAAGTTCTCCGAAAAGGAATGTTCCCAGAACGTTCCCCTAACCTTAAGGGAACGTTCTATTTACGTTAAGAAAACTTTCCTGGGGAACCAATAGGAAACGTTCTGGGAACCAAAAACTAACGTTCCCAGAAACTAAAATTGTTTGCTGGGATGAGCCTTTTTCGAGTATCCCTTTAAAGGAACACTCCGACTTTTTGGGACTTTAGCCTATTCACCTTATCCCCCAGAGTTAGATAAGTCCATACATACCTTTTTCATCTCCATGCGTGCTATAAGTCTGTTTGACGCACCCACCGCTAGCCTAGCTTAGCACAAAGACTGGATGTGAATGGTTGCAGCTTTCATACTAATCCAAATGAGTGACAAAATAACGCAAACGTTTTCCTATTTACATGTTGTGATTTGTATAGTCACAGAATGTACAAATAACAAAGTCAAATGAGACACAGACATCTTTTAACCGTATAAAACCTGGGAACTATTAGGACACACGTCCTATGTTTCATCCATACGCCACTTCTGACGCAAATCCAAGCAAAGTTTTATACGTGAGGCCCCTGGTTACAAGTGGCACTGTGCAGAATACGGATAAGGTATAAAGTTTTCATTCATAGAGAGGGGCTATGTTCACACATTAAAATAATGAGATTCTTAGTTTGAACTGAAGTTTGTCCAGTTTAACTTAAATTAACGCAGCATCGTCCTTGTATTGTAACTATCCTTACATTATGAACTGCAAATGCTGTTTTTTTTGTTTTTGTTTTCTGCATCTATGACTCCGCAATTAGACTAAAGAGAACACTCTGTAAGTAAATGTCCTGAATGCCCTGATTAAAATATAATTTTAATAATTATTTTTTTTGTGTCATCTTTTAAATGAGATCATACTTGTGCTTTTAGTGCAAAGGGTTCATGAACTGTATTGTTTTAGTTTGGGTATGCCATATCTGGGGATTTTTCAGAAATGGGTTCCTGGCTAACAGGTTAAAGGAATACTGTGGTCAATGGTATCAAATGGAGCACTAAGATCAAGTAACATAAATAGATAGATAGATACAACCACAATCGAATGATCAGAGCAAATCATTTGTAACTCTAATGAGAACTGTTTCAATACTATGATAAGGTATAAATCCTAACTGGAAATCCTCGCAGATACCATTTCTTTCTAAAAAGGAATATAGTTTTGTGGATACTGCTTTTTCTAGTATCTTTGAGAAAAAGTGTAGATTTGAAATCGACCTGATCAAGTCACGTTTTTTAATAATAGGTTTAATAGCCAGCTTAAAAGTTTTCGGTACATATCCTAGTGACATGAATTAATGATATTAAGAAGAGGATGTATGACCTCTGGAGGCATTTCAGTAGCTTAGTCGTTATTGGGTCTAACATACAAGTTGTTGATTTAGGTGATTTAAAGGGTCACTTCACCCATTTGCAATAAGCTTTTTATCGTTAGAACCCTTGTCATATTTTTGAATGGTCATGGTTTATTCCCTTATTTTCCCCTGAGATGGGAGAAATAAGGATTCAAGTGTTTTACTTTCTGCTTATTATGATGTAAAAATTGTCATTTTGCGTCATAATAAGCAGGAAGTCATATTTCATTAAAATGTGTAGAGACTACAAACATCAGCTCATTATTATGCCAGGGTGTTGGACCCACTCACCCTACAAGCCTATTACAGATCAGTGGGTGGGACTTGACTTGCAGAAACTGAAATCAATATCAGCCATCTTGTTTGGAAGCTAATCTTACAAGCGCTGTGGAGATAGGAAGTATGATAATGATGGAAGAAACTAAACATGATCTGGAAGAAGAGGATTTTGAAGTTCTGCTGCTCGAATCTGATGTTCTTGGCTATCTTTACGAGCCGCAGTATAGTTTAGAGCAGCTGAGGCTGATGGAGGAACCAGTGGCGGCTGACTGTCGCTGTCGAGGAGCCCGGATTGGCTTGAGCTGAGGTGGACTTTTGTGTATGTGTTCTCGCTGTGAACTACGAACACAGATAGAGTCCGTCTGCTGCAGAGAATTTCAACGATGGCAATTTCTCCTGGACGAAATCGCTGAATCTGACGAGCACACGGACGTTTGTGTTGTGATGTGAATCCTAGTTTCGCCTGACTGAACATCCAGGTATCATGCAGTAATTCACCATATATAAATAAATACAAACGAGGAGTAATTCACTAATGAGTTTGCCAATGTAATGTTAACAGGATCCGTTGTTGTGGGAAGAAGGAGGCGGGAACCGGCAAATATTTAAACATTTTAATTGTAAAATGAACAAATACAAAACGAAAGTATAAGCCAGCAGCCCTTCTTTGACGACTGCTGTAACGTTACTCACAACAGAAACAAAACAACATAAAATCAGGCCTGTTTCTCTCTCGATCTGCCATTGTCGCTCCTCATTTTATGCTTTTGCTCCTCCTTGAGAGACAAGAGACTGGCACGCGCCTCACAAGTGTCTTTCATTATCACTCACGCCGTCTGCCTCGCGGCTTCCTCTTACGTCCCTCGCCCTTGATCGTCCTGCTCGCCACAGCCAACTAACTAGAAATTTTGTGTGAAATGAATTTCAAACTCTGGTGACAGCTAATATTAGCCTTGTAGACGGAAGAGTGATTTCTCTGTTTGTGCTATTCCGGATTAGTGGGTGTGGCTTGCGGAGCTGTGCAATGTGGTGCATTGTGGGAGTTGTTGTCTTACATACAAATGCGCCCCTCGGTTATTTTCTGTCTTTTCTCGGTCAAGAGGGCACCAAATTCCAAAATTCTTTTACATTTCGACTACATATATGATCCACTTTCAATAAAGATTAATGTTGAAATGGGTGAAATGCTCCTTTAATGGGTTTAGACAATTCTTCCTCCTGTTGCATCGAATGAATGGGATTTTTCCTCAGGGACACTACAATGCACTGCCTGCTACTGTAGTAGACAGTTGCATAATTTTCTCTTTAATATTATCAATCTTGTAAGTAAAGAAGTCCATAAAGTCATTACTGCTATGCTCTTTGGAAACTTCAGAAGTAAAAGCTTTATTTCTTGTTAATTTAGCTGCTATGTCAAATAAATACCTAGGGTTGTGTGTCTTTTTTTCGAAGAAAGTCGAAAAATAAGCAGATCTAGCAGTTTTTTTTAAGGCTTTTCTGTGCTCAATCCGGCTTTCTCTTTCCACGGAATTAGAAAAATGGCTAGTTTTGTTTTCTTCCAGTTTAGATTATGATAGAATTTCAAAATGACAGACAGTGCGGAAGTCTAAAATCTTAGTTTTGATTGAGAACAGGATGAATGTGTTAGTTCACCAGGTAGACAAACATTATGCCAGCTCTAACCACCTTAAACCAACATGAAATTCATGCTCTCAGTAACACTCATGGCTTTAGTAGAAGATTTTGCTGCTTGTGCACTCATTCATTCATTCATTCATTGTGTTTTTCTTCTTGTTTCTGCTGTGTGGATAGAGATGATCAGACTGGAGAACTGCAAGATGCTCACCTACCAGTATATGATGAACAACAGAAAGTCAAAAACCAATACAAAACCAGTATGAAGAACAAGTATGAGAGCTTATTTGAGGGAATCAAACTACAAGAGAATCAAACTCTCCTGAACAGGATCTACACACAGCTCTACATCATAGAAGGAGCGAGTGAAGGGGTGAATGAAGAACATGAGGTTTTACATATGGAGAGAACTTGCAGTACACAACACTCACAAGACACTCCAATCAACTGCAATGAGATCTTAAAACCATTGCCTAAACCAGGATGTGAGGAGAAAGGGCAAATCAAGACTGTTCTTACTAAAGGCATTGCTGGAATTGGAAAAACCGTTTCTGTGCAGAAGTTCGTTTTGGACTGGGCAGAGGGAAATGCCAATCAGGATGTAGAGTTCATGTTTGTGCTTCCATTTCGAGAGCTGAACTTGATTAAAGATCGCCAATACAGTCTTCACAGACTCCTGCTGGACTTTCATCCTGAACTTCAAGATCTGGACTCAAAAATTTATGAGGAGTGCAAAGTTGTGTTCATCTTTGATGGTCTGGATGAAAGCAGAATTACACTCATTTTTTCAGACAGTAAGAAAGTATCTGATGTAAATGAGTATTCATCCGTGGGTGTGTTGATGTCAAACCTCATTAAAGGAGAGCTGCTTCCCTCAGCTCATATCTGGATCACTTCCAGACCAGCAGCAGCCAGTCAGATCCCCTCTAAATACATCCACCGTCTGACTGAAATTCAGGGATTCAATGATCCTCAGAAGGAGGAATATTTCAGGAAGAGAATCAGTGACGAGCTTCAAGCCACCAGAATCATTACACACATTAGAAGAGCAAGAAGCCTCCACATCATGTGCTACATACCCGTCTTCTGCTGGATCTCATGCAATGTGCTTCAAAATCTCTTGAAACAAGATGACAATGCAGAAATCCCTCAAACTCTGACTGAAATGTACATCCACTTTCTGCTCATTCAGATCAACATGCGGAATCAGAAGTATGAAGGGAGAGATACAAATGAACTATTGCAGTCCAACAGAGAAGTGATCATTAAACTTTCTGAACTGGCTTTCAAACAGCTAATGAAGGGTAATGTCATGTTTTATGAGGAGGATCTGAGTGAGTGTGGCATAGACATAAATGATGCCTCAGTGTATTCTGGGATTTGCACTGAGATCTTTAAGGAGGAATCTGTGATACATCACAGGAGAGTCTACTGCTTCATACATCGGAGCTTTCAGGAGTTTCTAGCTGCTTTATATGTATTTTACTCCCATCTGATGAGGAAAATGGAGTCGTTGCAGTTTTTTCTGGATAACAGAAATGAGAGCTATTCATCTCAGCCAACGTCTTTGTGTGAGCTTCTAAAACTTGCAGTTACTAAAACTCTTCAGAATAAAAATGGTTACCTGGATCTTTTTCTGCGATTCCTGTTGGGCATCACACTGGAGTCAAATCAGAAACTCTTACAGGATCTACTGACACGTACAGAAAAAAGCTCAGAGGCCAGCAGAGAGACCACACTGTACATTAAAGACAAAATTAAGGAAAGTTATGGTCTCTTAGCTGACAGATCTATTAGTCTGTTCCTCTGTCTTCTTGAAGTAAATGATCAGACTCTGTACAGAGAGATTCAGGAGTTTGTGAAATCAGGTGAACATTCAGAGAATAAACTCTCCCCTGGTCAATGCTCAGCAATAACCTACATTCTTCAGATGTCTGAGGAAGTGCTGGATGAATTTGATCTCATGAAATACAACACATCAGATGTGGGTAGAAGGAGACTGATACCAGCTGTTGTTAACTGCAGAAGAGCTCTGTGAGTATTTATTTATTTATAGACTCATCTTTTGTCAACCACACAATACAGAAAACATTAGCCACCCATCTCCTCCTCACTCCATTTTTATTCTTCACTACAGACTTGATGGATGTCATCTGTCTAATCAGTCCTGTGAAAGTTTGTCTTCAGCTTTACGATCATCAAACTCCCGTCTGACAGAGCTGAACCTGAATAACAATAACCTGCAGGACTCAGGAGTGAAGCTACTCTGTGTTGGACTGAAAAGTTCAGACTGTCAACTGAACATCCTGAGGTTTGAGTTTTACATTGATTCCTTTAGTATGTTGAAATATGTTAATGAATAGTTTGTTTAAATAAACCAGCTAATGTCATACTTGCTAGTTGAAAACATGTTGCCTACATACAAATGCTACATTTGATTATTACAGTTCTCAATCAAATCCGTCTAACCTCATTTCCAGCTGCTTGACCATTTTTAATTTTTCAGCATCCATGGTGTATCTGATATTAAATGCCTGCCAATGCGTAGTAACATTTAAAGGGACACTCCACTTTTTTGTAAAAAGGCTCATTTTACAACTCCCCCTGAGTTAAACTGTTGAGTTTTACCGTTTTTGAATCCATTCAGCCGATCTCCGGTTCTGGCGGTACCACTTTTAGCATAGCTTAGCATACATTATTGAAGTGGACAAGACCGTTAGCATTTCTCAAAAAAAAAATGACCAAAGAGTTTCGATATTTTTCCTATTTAAAACTTGACTCTGTCACGCTGTGGGTGCAGGCTGAAGGAACAGGAAGAGTCCAGATGAACACGAAGATGAATTTAATTCCAAAAATACAGGCAAAGAAACAGGGAACAGGAGCAAAACACCGGGAAACATCCAACAGGTAGCAATTCCACAGAGAAACATTCACATAACATGAACATCGACCGACAAGGACTGAATGGAACTGAACTGAACTAAATACACAGAGGAATGACGGACTGTGACAGACTCTTCTGTAGTTACATCGTGCACTAAAACCGACGGAAAATGTAGTTGTGATTTTCTAGGTTGATATGGCTAGGAACTATACTCTCATTCCTGCGTAATAATCAAGAAACTTCACTGTCGTACCATGAGTGCAGTAGGTGTAATGACATGACGCAGCGCCTGAAATTAGGCTACCTTCCGTCAACATAACTATACAAACTTAGTCCTGGTCATGTTGGAAGTTACCGAGCAGACTATTTTTCGGCCGCTGCGTCATATCATTACGCCTGCTGCACTCATGATACGGCAGTAAAGTGTCTTGATTATTACGCAGGAATGAGAGTATAGTTCCTAGCCATATTAGCCTAGAAAATTGCAACTTTACATTTTCCGTTGGTCTTAGTGCACGAGGTAACTACAGAAGAGTCATGTTTTAAATAGAAAAAATATCGAAACTCTTTGGTCATTTTTTTGGGAAATGCTAATGGTCTTGTCCACTTCAATGATGTATGCTAAGCTAAGCTTAATTCCAAAAAAAAGTGGAGTATCCCTTTAAAGGTGAAGCATGCCATTTCTGTGACATTAGTGCCACCTAGTGAAATCACAAAAATACTGAACATTTTGCAAACCCCCCTTTCACGCATTACACATGACTCAACAGCTTTTACGGGTGCTCGTGATTGCATCAACTACTTTCATTAAACGGTCAAATATAGGAAACTTTTAGCTGTGTTGCCATGTGTCACAAGATTAAGCAACTGAGAACAGAACCCTCTGTCTAGATCAAATGCGCTTATTTTAAACCCATCCAACGTGCATAGATGCATTTTTGACATAATGCATCACCCAGCATACCCGGTTAAAAAAGTCAATGCTCGCCACTAATATACACACACACATATATATATATATATATATTAGGGGTGGGCCGTTATCGGCGTTAACGTGCTGCGTTAACGTGAGACTCTTGTCGGGCGATAAAAAAAATATAGCCGTTAATCTATTCTCACAGTTGAGTTGGGAGCTGACTATACCACGCATGCTATGATGACTTTCACTTTGATATTTTAGCGCAGATGTAGTCGAATTGCACTGTAAGGGTAATTTAAAACCAATATATTGAAACGTCTGTTTATCCAGATATTAGGAAAATATCAGAGATGCATTTTATATTTAATATGAGGGAAATACACATCCGTAAAAGGGGTCGCACACCGAACGAGAAGCGCCGCGCCACGTCTAGGGTTTTGTTTACACCTGGCCACTTCATGCGTTTTCTCAGATCTGATTTATCAAAACGATTCAATTTACACCTGGTCACATACATGTGTTTTTGCAAAACGGATATAAATCTGATCTTCAATTCCCCCACGCTATATGCGGATTTATGAAGTGCACGTCACCGAAAGCAACGATAGCTTATGAGCTGCATTTTGATCATCGGCTAATTTCAAAATCAGCAAAGACAGCAATAAGAGAGAGCGGCAACCTGGTAAGATCATTTAGTTTCTTTACTTTTAATGAAGATGGTAGTGTTAAGTGTCTGCGACTTACTTTCACTTTGATTTGCGATAGATTGTGGCACGCTGGCTTGATAGGCGCTCAGCTGCTCATCTGAGGTGATGCGTGTCGCAGTAGTGCCGTCATATCTGACTAAAATAACATGACATATGGCCTATAACACGCTCTCACACGTTTATTTTTTTAAGCATTTTTGGGAGTAGTAACATTTACATATGTGGTTTCAACAACCAGATGCATTTACTCATGTCCAGTTTCGTCTGGAATGTGGCCCAGACTACCTCTGATGTGGTTTGAGTGATCGGAGTTTCGGAGGGCATTTACACCTGGTCTTTTCAAGATCGGATACAGAAAACGTATGAAGTGATTTCAGAGCATCCGTTAACTGAATTAATTGAGAATCTCACCTGAAAATCCAATAACATCAGCAATTGTCATTCAAGCAGCTGATTTCTGTATTAGGCTATGCATTATATGCATTCATTAGATATTTCATCCCTCTCTCTACATAGAAGAAAAGTAGATCAAATTGGTTTAGAATTACACAAGAAAACCTAATATGAACATTCCAGTGTTATGAACAATAATATGAATAATTCCAGTCTTAAATCTTTTATAAAACATATTTAGGCCTAATTACAAACTACCTGCGAGGTTATTTATTTGGGTATAGCACACGCCTTTGGTAGAATTCAAATGAGCCATTTTAATCTAGATTAATTTAAAAATTAATCTAGATTAATCTAGATTAAAAAAATTAATCTATGCCCACCTCTAATATATATATATATATATATATATCCTATCGCGTGTGAATGGTTTAAAAGCATTTGCTTAAATAAGAGCGTGATCATTTATTGTAAAGCTAGCCTCTCAGGGATGCTAGCCCACCCCTAATAAAGGGTGGAACAGTTCACAGTTTTTTTCCTTTTTATCACTTCAGAAATACCATACATCAGCATAAAATATATAGCCTTATAATCTATTATTTGCAGTATTTAATAAGTTATTCTCAAGGTCATGTAATCAAAACTGAAAGAATGAGGCAGCTTGATTTTAGGAATGGATACAATATTGTGACACTAGCCGCGTTTCCATTACCATTCAAATTGCGCAAATTGAAACTGCGAAATTAAAATACGCGCAATGGAAACACGTCCATTTCGCAAAAACTGTTTATCACAAAAAAGTTTTTACGCTTGCATGAGGAGGTTTTTCAGGCAATTCGAAAAAGGAATATTTCGCAAAACTGCAATGGAAACGGGTTTTTGCGCATTTACAGTCACCTGACTTAAAAGACGCTGTGTGTTTTGGGTCCGTGTCCGTAAATAATAATAATAATTATCATCATTATTATAACATTTATTAGGCTACATATGTAGAAGACGCTTTTATACAAAAAAGGAACAAAGCGATCACATTTCATTCATAATACAGGTTGGGCAATAATAATAGGGCTAAGATTATCACAAATAAACACAAGATTTTGACACATATCCAAGTGTGTGTGCGCGAGTGTGGAGCGCGCACTGAATGGCAGGAAGGCATGGGCGTGAACACTTGCATTTTCCCATCAACAGTGGAAACAACTTAAAATACTCTATAATTTCTGGTCATACAGAATATAATAATACATTATTCACAACTACTTTTATTTGCGTAATCTCACAATAACAAGAAAATGTTGTGCTTTTGTTAAATAAAATAAAACAATTAGGCATGGTTTCATGATCTCCGAGAACTGGAGCGCAAGAAATGAAAGCTTTAGCATAAGTTCTGCCAGGAAGACTTAATTACCGCGTCACGTGTTACCTTCAGGTTATCCAATCACATTCTTATTCTTGTCGTATAAAAGATCAGTACTTACACATGTTTGAGTTCGCAGATGCCGATGCGACAGCAAGTAGATGCTGTCTCATTTATTCATGCTCTCGTTCAGTCGGCAGGCAACATGTTTCAGGATATTGCTTACAATTTTCGAAATCCGACGATGTCCCGCCCTATTTCCTACTGCATGTCGATGTTCCCGTGCTCAGTTTCGCATCTCTCCGTAGACACAGCGGTCTTCGGAAAGTTTTGATCAGCTAAGGCCACTCACGAGAATTTCTGGCTGTCTTTAAAGCACTCAGGAACCGCGCTGTCTGCACAGGTGCCATTATCCCGCAAATCACCGATCCACCGACATGCAACAACAACTCTGCAAATCACAAGACGATCTAGCTCTCACTGGTTTCAAGTTCAAACTCCACTTCCAAGGCTTTCAATTCGTTCGGTAGGCACCGCACCTCCACCAACCACTGTTAATGTGTCCCTTCTACCTGATTAAACTTCATTTAGGTAAGTATTTCTCCATGGCTTCCTACACGGCTGAGATGAAATCATGGTTAAAATTGGCGTCCACGATGTCGATGACGTGGCGCTATCTGATCTTTACGGCTGATCTGACTGCAGATGGGCCGGATATTACAAGTGTAAGCAAAGTTTGCGTTTCCGTCAGTCCGATATTCCACATTTAAGTTGTGATCTAATAATATCAGTGTTGTCAATATCACGCTCTCATTTGCAGTTTGCAAATACCCACTAACATTTGTAATGCTATAGAGCAATTAGCTGATAACAAAGCTAGTGGCAAAGATAACATCACTGCGGAGCATCTCAAGTTAGCCAGCCCCAGAGTGTGAGCCCTTCTATCTATTTGCCTGACAGGGCTGCTGACTCATGGTGTACTGCCAGACACCATGTTGACCGTCACATTAGTGCCCGTCATTAAGAACAAGGCGGGGAAAATAGGGAGATT